ATGTATGTACATACTAACTTTCTTCTTATTTGGGGCTGACAAACTTTAACTTAAGAGTCGACTTTATTTCGTCTACGAAAATGCCCCAATAGTTTTGGGGTCTAATGAAAATGCATTCCCCACGCATACATATATCTACATATATGTACATGCTACATTAATTGACAACGTTTTTACATGCATATATAAGTACATACATATATATGTGCATATTGCTGCCTAAATACTACGCACATATCTCCTTACATAATTACACGTATACTCAAATACAACAATAACTATTTCATTCATAAACGCACTCGCATATTTCTCAAGGTCAAGTAAATGCATTCATAAAAACAGCCGCAGCATATCTGCCGCAAATTTATCACCATCAAGCGCAACTTTGTCAAGCCGACACAAAAATTCTAAAATGTAAATTTGAAGAAATCTCGGCTAGCCAAGTGAAAAGTGGCAATTATTTCTCTATATCCAGTAAAATAAGTTATCTCGAATTTTGGTAATTTTTGGTAGTTTTTGACAAAACACTCAATTTCTCTATTCCCTTCCAATATTTCAACCACTAACTAGTATTTTAAGGTGTAATTTTAATAAACATTAAATAAAAGTGTACGTTTTCTGCAGGAGAATACATTAATTTTTTTAAATAAAATCAAAACTTCTAAAATCACAAACATATGTGGTTTTATCGGAAGTTCACAAATGTAACGTGGCAACTTAGCTCGTTTTCACATTTTTCGGTCCGAAATTGTAAAATTTTTGTCCATGACGCGCCACGATTTTTGTACAGGTGGGTCAATGTGCCTTGAACACCATTTGTATAAATGCAAAAAAATTATTTCATTTATTTTTTAATTTTCAAAACTTTTATACTTCAAAGCGTTTATAAAAATATATTTACATATATGCACGGACGATTTTTAATATTTTTCATCCGTAAGCAAATCTTCTGTACCATAAAAGATTCAAACACATCAAAGTACAAGCAATGCAATGTTCAAGCTAGTGCTACTCCACTGTACATGTGTATATGAATGTATGCATGTATGCGTGTAAAAAATGTCAATTCCAGTTAGCTTTTAACCCATTTTAGCGGACATAGTTTTTTTGGTTTCAGCTGGTTGCAACTGTTAATGAAGCACAATTTTTATGTTTAATCTTTATGAAAGTTACATGTATCGTCGAGAACATGGGTACATGTAGAATTTTAAATTAATTAATATTATTATCCATATAAAATGTACGAGTATGGCTTTATTAAATGTAAACTTATGCGAAAATCTAAATATTTCGTCAACCAAGGGTTAATTTTGGTGGCGTCGTGGCAATTCGCAGAAATTTAATAATTTGTCTTTGGTGTAGGACGGCGAGGGGAAGACGAAAGCAGATCAATCGTACATATTTTTGCACATATTTACATTTATAAATGCACACATATTTATTCGTTTGTCTTTTTGGATGAATGAAAAATTTCCTATATGTAGTTGCCGTTTGTCTTGGTTCAAATCCCGGACGGACCAAGTAATAATTTTTGTTTTGTTTTTCTTTTAATTGTCATATCCATATTCCATTTTAAATTTTACTATTAGCTTTGTTTAAAATAATATAAATGGATATGTAGGTACAAACGCATGCATAATTTCACATAATCGCTCAAATTTGCCAAAAGTTACTGAAAGCTTTATTGTAAATGTTTTCACTAAAATATTAGTTATTGGAATTAAAATTTTATGCGAATCCAATTTTTATTTCCATTTTTAGAAAGCGCAAGTATGTATATGTTCGTGCCACAAAAATTATTTCATAAGTAGTTAATTTTAAACACAAATATGTATGTACACTGGCAATCAAAAGTGAGTGCATCCTGTTTTTTGTTTAATATTTGCAATGTTTTTAAGTTAACATTTTTTGTTATTTTCGACGGGTTTTGCGGTTTTATGCATATAACAAGTGCAATATAAAAAATAGCGCTATTTTTTTTTTAATTTGTTTGTAAACGGTCATACGCATTTTACTCTACAAGAAATTCCTTTTTATTTGGTAAAAAGTGCAAAAAGCCGTCAGCAATAAATAATCATTAAAAATAAACCAGATTTTTTAGCCGCTTAAAACTTGATCTTGTTCCACTAGAATTAAAAAACCGATCTATCTGCGTACTCAAAATTTTTCTAAAAATTCAGATTAAACAGGTCAAAATTTAGACAAGAATTCGTTGAATTTTTCTATGTTCTGTGTAAAGTTTGAAAGTTTGACTTATGTAGTTTTAATTAAAGCATGAACCACATTTTTAGAAAAAGATAATAAAAAAAATTTAATTGAAAATCATTGCAAAAATTAAGCAAAAAACACCATGCACTCACTTTTGAATGCCAGTCTATGTAAGTATGTACATATGTGTGTAAACTTTATGCCAAACTATCATTATTTTAAATTGTATTCGCATCTTCATAAAAGGAGAACAAGATAAAAAATTTAACAAAAATTACAAATTAATGAAAACTATGTGAAGATTTACCATATTTTCGTTTATTTGCTCGCAAAGAACATCACATTTCATGTTGCTCAACATTGTATTATGCTATCAACATTAAATTCAACAGAATTTCTACATTCCGACTTGAACTTTTCTAACGCTGTTAGTTTTTCGTCCGCGAATAGTTTCCACTTCAGTTTGCACCTTCTCTATCTATCTAAGTTCTCTGGTATAAGAACATACATATGTATATGTATAAGTGTATACAATCGAGTACATATTAACATTTGTATGTGCAAATCAATAGGATTTACAAGTGTTTTTTGTTGTTGCAAAAGCAACATGTTTAGCTGCACTTTAACATGTCACGAAAATAAAAAAAATGAGAACATCAGCTTTTTATAAAAAACCGACCTATAAATTTTTTTTTTTTTTAAAGAATAAAATAAGGGTTTTTTTTATCACAATTAACCATATTTTGATGTAGCGTTTCTTAATTTCCAAAACGGGTTTTTTTGTTTGAACCACTCTAATGTACATGTCTACATATCGTCCCGTTTCTGCCTTAACCTCGCATCTGCAATAGAGGTATTTTAGAGAGTGTAAGAAAAAATTCTTAATTTCTTCCCCTAGGATACAATAAACGAATTTTTTACTTAATATTTCTGGTTCCACTAATAGTAGTGAGAACCCTCATTAAGGGCCGTTTGCTCAAAGCCTGGTTGACACTAATCCCTGGTTAAACATCGTTATCGACGTTACCGACACCGTGTTATATGCATGGAGTCGAAAACGTCGATAACGTTGTTAATCGATGATTAGTGTCAACCAGCCTTTGAGCAACCGGCCCTAAGTCTTTGTTCTATTTTTAAATAGTGTGACGCTTAAACAGCTGTTATATGTGGTACTATTAGTTTTCCCTAAAATTATAGATACGTGGTTAAGGCAGAAACGGGACGATATGCGAATGCATGCATTTATAGTAAAGGTAATCACAACCCTTTGTATATGGTCTTGCCTTCGCATATTTCGGTGCATTTTCAAAATTTATGCTTGCTACCATAGCAAAGGTTTGCATTATATTGTTGTTAATTTCCACTTGATTTTGATTACCCTTAATACATACGCGCAAATCATGTCATTGTCAACGAGGTTGACATTGAATAATGCTACCGCGTTTGCTGTTGTTAATTGTGATGCTCTCCTTGGTAAATATTGGTGAAAAAGTTGGTGTGGTGAAATGCGATTCGCCGGTTCATAGAGTGGAAAGTGAAAAAACCTGTCAAAATTGCAAATAACAATTAAATGTAAAATTAGTATACATATCCTCGAATAGAACTGTAAGTAACATATTTTGTTATTGGGGCGCATCAACTGGCCTTTCAACTGGGTTATTGTGTGCATAACTTTATAGAGTTAAAATAAATATGTAGATCGTGGATAGTCTACCATTACACACGTGATTCGTTATCGTCCTGTTTTTTGGTTTAGTTCATAAAAAGTGTCTAATATGTCTTTAAAATTTATTTGTAGTCAACGCGGTGGAAATATTCTAATAGATGAAGGTCATTTGCTGACAAAACACCGAAGTAACAAAGGAAGCATTGCATGGCGGTGTAAAAGACATCGTGATGGTTGTACAGCGAGAGTTTTTACGACAAACGATACGCCTACTGGTAAATGACATAGATTACATATTTGTTTTATCTGTTCTTTTATCAAGGTTAGTTCTAATGAAACAAATGCGCTTTCCAGGGCCATATTGAAAAGATCTGGTGCTCATAATCATACTCCTAATCGGGCGGAAGTTGATGCTAAATTAGTAATGGAAGAAGGGAAGAGGATGGTCAAAATGAAATCGGTACCGATTTCTAATGTTGTTGCACACATAATCGGAAAAGTTGATAAGTCAACTGCGGCACGTCTTACTGATCCAGATAGCATGAAATGAACGCTACGCTCTTACCGGGCAATAAATAATCCTATACCACCCAATCCTAAATCAGCCAATGAATTGACAATTTCCGATGAATTTGCTTATATATTAAAAGGTGACAAGTTTCTATTTTGGGACTCACGAGATGATGGGAAATCAAAATGAACTTTAGTGTTTACCACTAAATTTAATTTGGATGTTTTATCGTCATGTGATTTATGGTTTGCTGATGGTACATTTGATTGTGTGCCTCATCTTTTTCAGCAACTATATATCATTCATGGTGTACGCGATGACCTTCAGCCTGTACCTCTTGTATCTATTTTGAGTACTGGTAAGAGCAAGAAAGTATGTAGAAATGTTTTGAAGCGACTTAAACGAAGCCAACCCGGTTTGCATCCTAAAAAAATTATGTGTGATTTTGAAGTAGCATTTCACCACGCAGTGAGAGATGTGTTTCCTGAAACGATTATCAAGTGCTGTTTCTTTCATTTCACACAGTCTGTGTGGTCTCATATTCAAAAAGCAGGGTTACAGCAACAATATGCAGATGACGCTATGTTTGCATTACATTTACGTAAATTAATCTCGATGGCATTTGTTCCACTTGAAGATATCCCTGTGGCTTACAATACTTTAATGAATTCGGAATTTTATGACATAAACAAAGAATTATTGGATCCACTCTTGGATTATTATGAGGGAACTTGGATGGGTGAAGTTAATCGTCGTGGTGTTCGTAGGCTGCATCGTTTTGATTACTTATTATGGAATCATTACGATTCCGTAAAAAACTTTGAGCCACGCACAAATAATGCTTGTGAGGGGTGGCACAATGCTTTTTCAGTTCGTGCACAAGCCAGTCATGTCTCCATCTGGAAACTTATAAACTTATTAAAAGCAGAACAGGGTACAACAGAGTTAAAAATTCATCAGCAAGAGGCCGGCCGCGAATGTCATAAAAAAAAGAGGAATTATGTGGATTATGAAGCTCGATTGGAGAGAGTAGTAATGAAGTACGACAAAGAGCTAGTTGTAGAGTTTTTGGAACATGTTGCTCAAAACGTTTGGTTTTGAAAACACGTTATAAATTTTGCCTATATGTATATTTGTATTTGGAGAAATTACGAATGAAAAGTATATTTAATGACATAAGACAATATAATCATATGTATAAATTTCTATCCGGATGAGTTTGTATTGGGACCATATTTATTGGGTAGAATTTACCGGGATGAGTTTGTTTTGGGATGAGTTTGTATTGGGATGACTTTTTTTGGGTTACATTTTCCGGGATGAGTTGTTTTGGGATGAGTTCTCTGGGATGAATTTACCTAGAACCTCAACAAGCCAAACTATAGACAAAAATTAAGAATATTCAATAACTGCTTGAATTATTACTTTTATAAATTTTTAAAAAGAATACGCTGAAAAGTGCAAAGATAATGAATTTAATTTATTTTAATGAAAACTTTTATTTTTATTTTAGTTTACTCAAAATAAACTAAAGTATTTATTTTATTTTTAACTAAAATGTATTCAACAATTTATATTGAGCTAGATGCCGTTTTTATTGAAAAACTATTGTGGAAAAGCAACAATAATTTTGAAAAAATGGTACATGTGATAGCTATTTCGGAAATTACCACATTTCCTCGTCAGACTTCTTTCAGTGGGATTCGATCTAAC